TAAAAGATACATATGTCCAGGGTCAAGGATCATCAGGTGCAGCATTTAATAATAGTCAAATGAGAGGCAGCCTTTAAGGAAGAAGGGACAAGAAGTGATGAGCTGAATTTTCAAAGTAGAAATGGTCCTCAATTTACGACCGCAATTGAACCCAAAATGACTATTGCTACGTGAGAGAGTTCGTAAGTGAGTTCTGCCCTATTTAATGACCTTTCTTTTCACAGTTAACCACAGTGAACCACTGCAGTTGTTAAGCTGTTAACACAGTTGTTAAGTGAATCTGACTTCCCCACCGACTCTGCTTGTCAGAAGGTTGCAACAGGGGACCACCTGTGTTCTGACCCAAACCTGATTCCAAGAGAGCAAACACGAGACAAAAATAACAGCACAATTTTGTAATGTTTCATTTACGAATCCCATTCCTTCATGGATAAAAGTCTGCTTCCAACCAATGAGCTCCGATTTGAAAGAGCCTTGCCAAGTTTTTTTCAAGTCTGCCAAGAACAACAGATAAAGCTCCTAAACAATAAATCAAAGAGTCTCCAAACACCAAGTCAGATATCCTAATGTCCACCAGGCTCGAGTGCAAAAACTTCTATGCTTCCTGCAAAGAACTGCAGTTTCTCAGCTGGCTTTTATCTCTTAAGGGAGGGCCCATTACCTTGCAGCCTTACTCCCGAGTCGCCCGTGCTGCAGCAGCTGCTCTTTCCTTCGAGCAGCCCTGCGTGCACATGCACTTGGCACAGGCTCCTCGGGGTGCTCCTCATCACTGCTGCCAGCCTCCACAAGCTCCGAAGGCAGCACTCCATTCCCTGATGGTCCTGGCTCCATCAATGCATCCCACGCAGGCCCCTCATCTGAGTCCTCGCTCTCCGAAACCTCAGCCGTCCGCACCTGCTGCCGGCGAACCACAGCAACCTGACTGTCGTAAGTATGAGTCAGTTGCCAAGCCTCTGAATTTTGATCATGTGACCAAGGGGATGCTGCAATGGTTGTGTGACAAAAGTTCATAAATCACCTTTTTTCCCCCCAGGGCCATTTTAAATTTTGAACAGCCACTGAATGAACTACTGTAAATCGAAGACTATCTGTTTGTAAAGAATTGTCTCTCTTGGGTGTGACACGCCATCAATATGAAGTTAGGCATTTTCCACATTTCTGACATGCCGAACCTGAAATGCTGGCTTATTCTTGGGCTTCCAAGATAGGAATGTGAAGGAAGTGAGGTGAGCGGGCGAGGGGAAGTTGGAAAAAAATGTGACAAGAATAAAAAAATGGGGGTTCTTGTTTGCTTTCCTGGTAAGGACCATCCACCTAGCAATAGCACTTAGACTTATATACCGTTTTATAGTACTTCACAGCCCTCTCTAAGTAGTTTACAGAGTCAGCCTCTTTCCCCCCCCAACAATCTGGGACTCCATTTTACCCACCTCGGAAGAATGGAAGGCTGAGTCAACCTTGAACCTGGTGAGATTTGAACTGCCAAATTGCAGGTAACTGACAGTCAGCAGAAGTAGCCTGCAGTCCTGCACTCTAACCACTGCGCCACCAAGGAAGGAAGGAAGGAAGGAAGGAAGGAAGGAAGGAAGGAAGGAAG